TGAGAGTTGGCTGCTGTCATGGTGAGCACAATGTACTCAGCAATGCTCTGTTGTGTGGGCATCACACTCAGGTGCTGACCAGTACTCAGCCACAATGCACCAACCTGACACAGGCAAATTTCAAAACACACTGTGGCGCTTCTTTGTCAAAACCTGAAACCCTGGACCCTGTGCCCTGGGCCTGCTGGAGGAAAACATGACATTGGGAAATGCATGATAAATGCATCAGAATGCAGTTTTCTAAACAAAAGGGCCAGGCGCAAAGAAGCCGGCAAGTCACCAGGCCAGCCTGAGCATTGGCGTTGGCATGGCCAGAAAATGTGCCTGACCTGATAAGGCTCTAATTGTTAATTATGGTGACCTTTCAATTGAGACTGAGACATAGAAGTCACATCCACATTGAATCATAAGGGTATATTAATAATACTAATACTACATCCCACCCTCCCTTGGCAAAGGGCCCAGCAAAGGTGACAGCACCTGCGTGAACAGTGGGCAAACACTGCAACAGGACCATGGCTTGGCAACTCACAAGATAATTTAATGCTATGACAAAAAAGCCAAGCTCCTTAACAACATAAATCAGACAAATTTACGACCAAGTTTGACCAAATTTGTCATTTTAAACATGTTCCAAGTCACTCACTCTCAACGATAAGCACTCAGTTTGCTGGCGCCCAGCCCTCCTGGATCTCCTGGAAAGTGCCCCTGAAGCATGGGGGCAGATAGGGCCCAAAAACAGGACTGACATCATCGCTTGACAAAATGCAGGGTGAAATCCAGCTTGGTAGCAGCAAAGGGGTAGGTGAGATTCAGATTCTAGTGACAGAAACAAATAAGAAATGATCTGGCACTGTGCTGCGCCAGCCTCCAGTCCAGATTGAGCCGTGCCCTGGGCCCTGGCCCCAGACCTAGGAACAGCAAGAAAGCGTGTCTACACTGTGGCTATGGCGCCAGCAACGAGGCTCAAGGTGAAGGACAGCTGACACATAATGATAACACAGCAAACAATTGAGTCAGTGTCAGGCATCACCAATAATATTTGAGATGCATGAAATGGCACTGAGGGCCCAGGCAGCTGCGACGGCTTCCACTGCAACGCCTGGCAAAGAAACGCTTCAGTGTCAACAAGCACTGCGACCTAGAGCCCAAACAACTTCAACCCAAGCCCATGGTGCCAGGAGCTTTTTTCTGAATGGCTAGCCAGCAGCAAAAGTTCAACGGCTGCTTGGAAGATTCTCAGCTTGTCAGGTTGCTCAGGCTCAGGATCTCTTGTGCCCTGTGCCCTGTGCCTGAGCACTTCTGACAAAAAGTTGCAGTCAGGCATGGCCTGGGCTCAGAGCCTCGCCCTGCGCCAGCTCTAGACAAATCATGCCTTAGGCCCAGGCATTGTCCTCATGGTCCTGCTCCACATTCACCTTGGGCCCTGGGCCCTGGGCATAGTTCTGAACACGCTTCTCAGAAGCCTGGATGGCCATCATCAAGCTGTCGCTCCACTTGACACACCGCATGAGGTGGGGCTCAAAGGGTTTGCCTTTGGAGTCAGCATGACGGACCATCTTCATGCCAAGCAAAATCTTCTTGCAATAGAGTGCCCGATCCTGCAAGTGTCGCTGGAAGTGGCTCTGGCCCAGGCACCAGGCAGGACCACAAGCCCAAAAATTGAACGGAAAAATGATATTAAACAAGAACCCAAGCTGCAAAGACATATCCACCGAGCTGAAAGCCAAGGTCATCTTCTGTGTCACCAGACCAGCCAGCAAAGACAACTTTCTTGTTCGAAAAGACCCGTAGAAATCGCCCTTGAGTGCTTCCGCCTTCCAGGCAGCAGCTATGGAATCAATGAACCACTTTGAACCATGGACACACTCTTGGCAAACTTAAGTGTGCAGTATAAACAGGCAAATATATATATATATATTTATGCAATTCTGCGCAGAGCTTGAAACCATTTGAAACCCTCTGCCCCCCAAAACCTGCCTGCAAAACAAAGACATCTGTCTTGAAAAGCTTGCAGCCCACATCTGCTGGCACCAGCTTGATGGCATAGAAGTACTGCTCGCTTGACATCCACAAGCTATAGTTGAAGGGCGGCTGCGATCCTGGCAGCGGCAAGCAAAATTGCCTAGTACCAAAGGCAAGATCCCGCTCCACGCGGTAGGGCTCACAGCGCCTAGGCAATGATAGTTGAGGCAGCCAACACATAAAAGGGACCATCCAGCAAAATCATTAGGCCAAAACCAAAACCAAAACCATCTACTTACTTGTACAAAATTTCTTCTCCCAACTAAGCCAAGCCCAAGCTTCAGGAGCATTGGATGCTGGACAGCAAACCTTATGCCACAGCCCATGGCCAAGTTGATCAAGTCTGTTGTGAACCGCTGGGATGCCCAACATGCCTTCAGCGGCTGAATATTCCTCATTTGTGTGGTCTTGGCAAGGCATTGAAAGAAGCTCCAAAACACCCAAAGATGACAATGGCAATGACAAACACAAAAATCAAAAAATAGAACAACCAGTCCAACCCCCTTTGTCCACTAGTGCCCAAGCGGCCGGTCTTCCAGGGATGTGAAGGCACTCTGCTCAGCTTTCTGGGGCAATCCGGGGCAAAGATCGAAGCTTCTTTTGCTGCCCAAGGCCAGTGAGGGCCAGGAAATGCTCGGCAACCACAGTGCAATCCCATCCATACTTTGTCACA